GCAGTGGGGCTCCCAGCCTGGCTTCAGGTGTGAGGACTCTGCACCCAAGGAGGCCCTGGTGCTGTGCAGTTGGCAGGGAGCTCCAGACAACACAGGTGCTCGTGAGTCCTCGCCTGGCTCCCAACACCCTCCCATGCCAAACCCTGCCATGGTCCCCCTCAGAGTCCACCCAGCAGCCTGAACTCCAACCCTAGCCAGCAGCAGAGCCCCGCAGAGGGCTGGGGCTGCTGCACATCCCACCTCGTGTCAAATCAAACCAGCTGGCGAGGTTGCCCCACGGTGCCGTGACAGCTGGGGCCTGGGGGAAGAGTTTGGCAGTGACACTGCTGGGACCCAGTGCCACAGGTGAACTGCACGTGAGGGCACTGGGGAGGGAGATGTGCCACATGGAGATGACTCAGGTGCAGCATGCAGCAGCCACGGGGCAGCCTCCAGTGACAGGGTGCTGTGGCCTGCCAGGCCCCCTTGCCCCTCTGACTGTAAGCCTCTGCTTGGGCTGCTGCACTTGAGGAAGGGGAGAGGACTCATTAGCTGCTGATTAGTGTCTCATTAGTACAAATCACACTGTATCATTAGCAATGAGTGAGTTAGTCCCCGCCTCAGCTGTTACCGCTACCTGGGGTGGCTGTGTGGCACAGGGCTCCTGGCCTCCATAACGCTGGCGGGACACAGAGGGCGGGGGTCAGCTTCACGCTGCCCTGGCCCCCTGTGCATGGGGACACCCCATGGCAGGACGCAGGGCAGGCACTCCCAGCCCCTCCGCCTCAGAGCCAGGGAGACCCCTCAGCCTTGGCTCCCAGGCTGCTCAATGTGTTGCCACCAAGCTGGACACTCCCTCAGCAGGACACTGGGACCCCCTGGTACCCCACCTGGCAGGCCAGGGTCTGAGGCATGGTGGATGCGGGGCGGCAGGTGGAAGCGCCCATCACCCATGGGCCCCGCACGGCGGGGGCTGGAAGCGCGGCTGCGCAGGGCCTCGCTCTGCACCGTGTGCCGGGGCCGCTCTGGTGTCTGTGGGGACAGAGGGTCACAGGTGAGCAGAAGCACACCCGCCGATGCCCCCCAAGCCTGAGCAGAGCAGCGTGCCTGCCCCTCCCCACCATGAACAGCCCTCTCCTGGCCCAAGCCCAGCCCCTCCCCAGGCCCAAACTCCCTTGCCCTCACACACCTTCAGGATCTCCTTAGCAGGGGCAGGCACGGCTCCCGCGGGCCATTTCCTCACATCCTGGCCATAGCCCGGGGGCACCAGCACCTGCAGGCAAGGAGTGGAGAGCTGGGGGCTTCATGTTGCATCTGTGCAGCCCTTGCTGCTCTGGTTACCCCAGTCGGGTGGCTCCAGCAGGTGGGGGGGAGGACAGGACCTTACCTGCCCATCAATGTAGGCAACCTCTCCACGCAGCACCACCCTGCGCACTGTCCCCTTCACCTTCATGCCCTCAAATGGTGTCCACTTGGCCTTGGTGAAGGCCATGCAGCTGGGGACGACCCACTCGTGCTCTAGGTCCACCTGCCGGGACAGTGGCACTGGGTCAGCACACGCCGAGCACGGAGGGAGGCTCCATGGCGCCCGCTCCTTTGACAGCCCCAGCCCAGAGCCACAGCCCCAACCACAGGGGGCTTGTGGGTCCAGACAGGACCCAGTCACCCCCAGGGCAGACCCCAGCATGGAGGGACTCGCCTGGCCCCAGCCACCCTCACCTCAACATAGGTGTCATCCTGGGCAGGCAGGGTGAAGATCTTGCGGGGGTTCTCATACAGGCGCTTGACGATGTCCTCGATGGTGAGGCGCCCCTCAGACACTGCTGTCAGCAGCAGCGGCAGCATCGTCTCCAGCCCGGGGTAACCTGGTGGCGGCTGCTTCCCCAGCTTCTCCTCCACCGTGTGCGGGGCTGCGGACACCAGCATGGCGCTCACGCCAGGCCCTACTCCAACTCGTGCTCCCCACTAGGGCCCTGTGGCCCCCTCAGCCTGCAGCGCCCAGCCCTGAGTCACAGCCCCAAGACGGGCGCCTGCCCATGCCCCTGCCCTATCTCAGGACAAGGCCCCCTCCGCACCCAGCTTGGACCAGCCCAGGGCCGGAGGACACAGTCCCCTAATGCTCTATTGAGGGGTATGGCCCATGCCCCATCCCTGCCTGCCCCAAGGCCACATCTGGTGCTGACTCCCCAAAGTCACCCGCCCGGTTCTGCACCGTGGTCAGTGGCGAAGCAGTCGATGACGTCCATGTTCTCCCACAGGGCCTCCAAATCCTCGCGCGTGCCCAGCATGGGCCGCACCTGCCCACGCCCCTCCCCGAGGCGCCCCAGGTCGTCCTGGCACAGGAAGAGGTGGTGCGGTGCCACCTCGCATGTCACCTGGATGCCCTTCTGCTTGGCCGCCTTGATGATCAGGATCTGCAGGCCCCAGAGCCAGCAAGAGCATTACCCCACATCCTGCCCTGGGAAATGCCCCCATCCCACCTCCCAGGCTTACACCCACCCCTGGGCAGTCACCCCCTAGGCCCCCCACAGACACTCTCAGCCAAGGTCACCAAAAGACACCCCTGATGCCGGCAGCAAGGGCAAGGGACATGGTTACCACAGGCCACAGAGACACCCCAGCACCAGGGGACAGATGCCGCTGCTGCTGTCCCAGCTGCGGCCCCTCTCAGCCCCCTCACCTCCTCCTTGCGGGCCACGTGGCAGATGTGCACAGGGCGCTGGTACAGCTGGGCCACCATGAGGATTGCGGCCACTGTCTGCTTCTCTGCATGTGCCACGATGGGCAGGTGCCGCGGCCACTGCTCAAAGTGCTGGGAGGGAATGGGGCAGGGGTGAAAACCGTGCTGTGCTGGGGGAAGGGAGGCCACTGGGGGCAGCGCACGTGTTGTGCGCTAAGGTCCTTGGGTTCCACATCAGGGGCTGAAACGGGGGTGGAGATCCTCCACCCGCATCCAGCACGAGCAGAAAGCAGTGCCCAAGCTCAGCCACACTGTGGCACACTGAGGACATCCTGGCCCCAGGCCCAGCCCCTGCCCCTGCCCCCACCTCC